TGCTTACCGAACAGCAGAGGTTTCAGACTCAAAGTCCTCATCTCGTGCACTTTGTCTGGCACTAGAGACACCTTTTGGACATGTCCTACCTGGAATGCAAATAATCAAATTTACCAGCTTACATTTAGTAGATGAGTGAAAATAATAAAAGCATCATCTCATCTCTCACCCTTATTCCCTCGATCCTTGTTAGTGAAACATCCCGTACAAAGTGCTGCTGTGATGGAGCGGGACGTCGCTGCTCTTGGTGCTGCTGTCGGTCACCGCCGCTGGGAGCGTCTCCGCCCCGGCTGCCGTCCTCCTGCCCGCTGTTGTAGTGCACGTAGAAGAGCAGTGCTATGACATTAATGATGTAGACGTGAAAAAACACCATCACGACCACGAAGTAGGAGCGGGAGCACACGCTGCTCTTGTGGCAGGGCAGACGGTCGCCAGTCGGCCGGAGCGGAGAGGTCGGGTTCCCGGATAGACGCGCGTCCTCAGCATCCGCGATCTCCTGGTGATCCGACATTTTCATTATTCAAAAAAAAAAAAAAAAACAAAAGAAGAAAGAAATTGCTGAAACAATTTGCTGACTGTTTCTTTTCGACTAACCCCATCGGGGTGTTTAAATGGCCGAACGTAGGAGCAAATGCGCTGAGTGACATATGTGGATCTGAATTTTAAAAAAGTGCTGAAAATCGATAAAAACCTTCCTTTAGATCTGGATCCGCTTTTAAAGATAAGAGAAAAAAACGACGTTTGTTGCTTTGCCAGTGCGGTCCAAACAACTCAGTGCGTAGTGATCTGCAGCGGCTTTGTTTACACTGCAGCTGCACGCAGGAGCGCACTGCGCATCAACCCGGGGTGGATTACACCACCAGGCACTTCCTCCTTACAAATTCATTCATAGAAAAAGGAAAAAACATTAAAAAAAAGATCAAATGTAAATCTAAAGGAAAATTGTAGCTTGTGTTTTTTCTCTCCAGATTATTAACAGCAGAATAATCAGCATCTACAGTACAATGCTGACCTCTGGCGACCTAAACTAACAGCAGCAGATTTTCGCGCAAAGCTTCTCCAAAGTATTCAGCTTTAAATGTTCTAATTTTCCTGCTCTAACAACCACATACTTCCATATATATATTGTTAGCATTTCAGTTTATTGTTTCTACACAAAGTAGTAGATAAGCTACTGCTGAAGTGAAACTGATACAGTTTGTCAGGTTTTCAATAAACTTTTATTTTGGACAGAAGGATGGCATTCAGTAGATGGCCATTTCTATTATTATAAAAGTCTATGAAAGCTAACACATAAAATCTTTTATTCAGCTTGAAGAAAAACATCTGACACATTACTAAAGTCTGCTGGTTTGCAGAGGTGTCAGGTAAAAAAGTACAAATACTTTGTTACCTTATTTAGTAGAAATATTGGCTACTTTACTGGAGCACTTATATTTTAGACAATTTTTAACTTCTACTTCTTAAATTTTTTGCAGCCATCGCTACTTTCTTCTCCTTACATTTTAAATAGACTCGTTAGTTTTGTTTCATTAAGGATAATTTTCGCTATGGCCTGTTGAGATTTTAAGTTTCATCCATAAAATAAATGTATTTGTGGTTGGACTCAGTGCTGCATCAAAATACACTTAAAAAAATAATGCAACCGCTTTTGACATTTACATATTTAGTTATTTTAACACACATTTTTTTATGTCCTACCCTGCTAACATGAAACTATTGTGTTAAAGTAATTGAACATCATTGAGTAAAATGTTGCATTATTTTTTTTCAGTGTAGCTGTAAGATGATGCAAAGTTCAATTTGATAGTGTTACCATCAGTTTTATAAA